CCCCCCCCCCCCCCCCCCTCAAAACGTGGCGATATTCCTAGGAATATCGCCCCCTGGCGCCGCCACTGGAAAAATCCATCGCAAATTTCGTTAAAATTTGTGACGCCAATTTCGTAGCTACAAATGTAAAAAAAATACAACACAAAGACGAAAAACATTTACCTTGAATACTTTGTCGTGGCTTAGGCATGTTTTTAAGACAATTAGACCAGTTTATGCGTCAATATCACCCTTTTAAAACGGAAAATATAGCAAAACAACAAAAATGCCGAGAACTTTGGTAATATTCGCAATAGGCGTGACGTCACGTTTTTCAACAAGGATGAGGTCAATGACGTCAGAAGTTTCCTATCCAGTTATTTTACAATCCATGGTAGGATATAGGGATATTCAATATGGAGAAATATCCCATCGTTAAGAATTGGGAAATTACAATTTAATATCTGCAGTCAAGACTGTAGCTCAGAGGCTCTGGAGGCTGTTCCAGTTACTGTTCGGAGTACTCCGGATTTTCCGAACACTAATTAAATCGAACCAATAATGATCACATGACTGTTCTGATGCTCACATGACTGTTCTGGCTGCCCCTACTTTTGAGTATAGGGGCAGTCAGAACAGTCATGTGACCGTTTTCGGTTCGATTCAAAAAGTGTTCCGAAAATCCGGAGTACTCCGAACAGTAAATGGAGCAGCCTCCGGATTGTAGCTACACTATTTTGCGTCAATTAGGAAGTTTTGAAACGGATAAATCTAGAAAATGGATTTTGGGATCGTATAGTTCAAACGTTATGATAAACCGCGAAGTATATTCGAAAATTGCAATTATCAACATCAAAATTATCAATATAAAAATTCTGCAATTCTTCAATAGGCCATTTCCGCGAATTACGCTCTAATGGTCAAGAACAACAACGTCAAGTCGAGGCTCCGTGCTAAGTTTGTTAGCAACATTCCAACTTTGCACGAAGCCTCGTTCGAAAACGTTTGTCTGTGGGCATTCGACGTAATTCTAACCTGAAGTTCAGGCCCTAATTTGAAATAGGGCCTGACACAAAACCTGTCTAGACCGTGGGACGCCCACATGTTATTTTTAGACACACATGCAATATGATTGACAAGTGTTGTAGATTTCGTTACACAAAAAATTATATTCTCATGAACATGTCCGCAGAGCATTTTGCTTTTTAATTAAACTTAAAAATTCAAGGTACTTTTATATAATTAAGAGTCAGTTTCTCTATTTAACCGAACAGGCGAACAGCAAACAAAGATTTAATTAGTCAGTTCTGTGCACGGCTTGACTGCCAAGCTTTCTCAAGGTCTCAACTTGCTGGACGCGGATATACTCTAACGACTAACGGGCTAATAACAGCAACAATTAAATTCTCAATCATACCACGAAGAAGGCGATGTAGCTCAGAAAACAACGCCGGTAGGACCTGATATTAAAAATAAGACTTTTGCCGGCGAAGCAAGTTGGCAGAACATCTTGGCTGTCAACAACAAGCTTTCGAATACATGACTAGTTTGGCTGTTCTTTCAGCGTCGTGTGTGTCCAAAATTCGTCAAAGATTTTGATGAAGCCCTTTCAAAATACTGTTTGTTTGATTTATTTTCTGCCATAAAGCATAAAAGAAAAGAAATTCGAAGAAATCGATAATGGAATTTGTTACGTGCGTTTGACCTTTATATTAATTCTCGCCTTGACCGAGCTATTTTTAAAACTGTTGTTTATGTGAACTTGCAACCAATCAAAATCCTTCATGATGCTGATCAACCAATCAGATTTCCCGTCCACCAGGTGGACGGGAATCCCACACTTTAGATAGGTTTTGTGTCAGGCCCTATTCTGTGATAGGGCCTGAACTTCAGGTTAACGTAATTCGGAAATGGATTGTTGCACTGTTATTCAAATGCGCATGCGTAAATGACGTAAGCTCTTGTCAATTGAAACCTAGTCTACTAAACTGTATGTACTATATGGCGTAATAGATCTGTTCAAGAAAACGTGACTATTCTAATTGATTGTCGTAATTGCTGTAATTGCTGACATTCTGCAGAAATGAGGTTCTTTCCAGTCTTGGTTTGCTCCCACAAGTTTTGTATTAGTTGTTAAGCCTTATAAACAGAAATCATTCAAGATCTTGTTGTGGAAGATGATGACATAAAAGGCCGAGTTTTAGCATGTTTCTTACATGCGATGAACGCACGACCGAAGCGATTCTTGTCTGATTCCACAGAGTCTGTTGTTTGTTCAACAATCAACATAGCCAGGATATAGTTTCCCCTGAAGTTGGATATCGAAATTCGAAATGTTTTTAAAATTATAATTTGAACATGTGATTGTCAAAATTTAACAATATACAAAGTGTTGTTAAATATATAAATTGGTCTAGTAGAACAAATGTTATGGCTACTGTACATGTGGTGAGGTGTCATCAAACCTATATTGATATGGGTGAACCAGACTTATTTCAAACAGCCATGACATTTGGTTCTACTAGGCTAGCCCAATTTTAATAGTGTCAAAATTCATTTCTTAGATTAAATTTTCCGATGCCATGCACTAATGATTAGCTTGTATTTTTGGCACACCCTGTATGATAATAATACTTTTCTGATTTTTAGGTGACAGTTTTAAAAGAAGATGGAAGTCAAGAGATCATAACCACAAAGAATATACTTATAGCTACAGGTTCTGTTGTCACTCCTTTTCCTGGTATAGAAGTAAGTCTTCTAAGTCTTGTCGTGCATCAGGTTACTGAAATTTCTGATTTCTACAGTAATATGATTTCTTAGTGCTCATCACGGTGGGAAACTAACAAACCCAAAACACATTTAAAGTCTGAATCGAATTATTTTAAAGACACTGTGCCTGTACTGTCCATGAAATATTGTGGCCGGAAGCAATCAATTAGCCTTTCTCACGATGACGAATATCCACCATTTTTTTTTTATTTTATTTAAAAAAAAATAAATAAAAAAAAAAAATTAAAAAAAATGGTGGATATTCGTCATTTTTGGGTGGCATCCAATTTTTGTTAACCAATGCAGACAATTAAATTATTAAAACAATGTGAAAAGCAATTTTTCAAAATAAACTAACCATTTACAAAGCAAATTTACCATCATTCATCAAAAAAATTATAAAAAGTCGCTGTTATGTGGAGTTATCTCGCAGACGTCGGCTGAAAAGCCACCCAAAAATGGCGGCGTGAGAAAGGCTAATTGGATTCTTTACGGTTCCATGTTGATTTATGTATACTGCAATTTTGTAATGTTCTGTGTAAAATAGGAAGCATGCCATGCGCTAACGCTGTGTTTATTCAATATATCGTTGAACTAACGCTGTGTTTATTCAATATATCGTTGAACTAACGCTGTGTTTATTTAATATATCGTTGAAGTACTTTAATGTGTGGCTATTATGTTTCTCATTTAGGTAGATGAAGAAACGATTGTTTCCTCTACTGGAGCTTTATCGTTAAAGAAAGTTCCAGAAAACATGATCCTCATAGGTGCTGGTGTGATTGGACTGGAACTTGTAAGATGTGATTCTGTTTGATTAGTTTAGATTATACTTACCAGCAACTTGTTGAGGAGACGAATGTTTTATTTGTATTGTAGATTTCCATCCTTTCTCAAACATGCCAATGATATACTCTAACTCTGTATGGAAACAATATGCACCTAAACATTCTTATCGTTTCCTTTTCAGGGTTCCGTATGGGAAAGACTGGGTGCTAAAGTAACGGCTGTGGAGTTCTTGGGCCACGTTGGGGGAATGGGCATTGATATGGAGTTATCGTGAGTTTTGTCTTAATTTTATTTATGATGTAAATGTAAATACAATTTTTCTAATCACAAGAGATAATTATATGCTGTATCAAGTAGATTAGTTCACTTGAAGGTTAAGGTTTACCGTTAGTACAATAGAGAGGTTAGTACAATACTAGGCTTTTTTTTCTGTGCAATTTCCGGTCATGTATAAATTGGGGAACATGGTTTCATATTTATCCAGCAACCGTTTTTTGTCCATATCCATACATTGAATGTCCATACATTGACGCTAACATGGCTATGCACTGTACAACTATTTAGACCTTTGGAAGCCGCATTTAGCTTTTGATGATATCGTCAAATATGTCATTTTGTGCATGATCATCCTGCTTGTTCTTGTAGAAAGAATTTCCAAAGGATACTGAAAAAGCAAGGAATGAATTTCAAATTAAATACAAAAGTCACAGGTATTTGAAATGAGTTTTATTATAGGGCCTCATGACATCATTATTTTTAAGCTAGACCCAAGTCAGTCACCCAACTAGACTTTAGCTAGTAGACTGCATGTGGAGTTACTGTAAGGGGCCCTCAATTTCAAAAATGCTCTGACCAATTTAAAGAACCTACTCAATTTTAGGCTCTCGCTCTCAAGTTGCCCGGGGCAATCCCCCCTGCCCCTCCCCCCTCTTGGCGGCCCTGTGAACCCCCCAACGGGAAACGAATCCGTGTCTCCCGATTGCCGGTTGTTTTACCACTAGACTATATAGGGTTTCAGACAGCAATGCGATGTTAACTAGAGACCTGGTTCCTGCCATTTATATGTGTACTTAAAGGCTCGTCATACTATTTTGTAATGCGATATTGTTTGTGTGTTCATGTACTATATACTACATATACTAGTCAGTTTATTAACTGTGGTCTAGTACAAAACAATAGATACTCCGAAAATTGAAAGCATTTTGAAAATTTATTTAGCGCTACGTAGATGACACTTTAGTTCTTGCTAAGCCCTCTGACATTGAACATATACTTAATACTTTCAATTCCTTCGACAGTCAAATACAATTCACTGTTGACCAATTTCCTGACAATGACATACACTTCCTAGACATCCAAATACTTCCTAATGGTACTACTGTCTACCGCAAGCAAACCCATACTGATCAATACCAACATTACTCAAGCTACACTCCATGGTCTGGAAAGATTTCCTGGATACGTGCCCTCATTCATCGTGCCCACAAAATTTGTAGCAATGATGAACTCCTTAATCTTGAACTAAATAATATTGCCTCTTTCATGTCATGGAATTGATCCCCCCGAAAACTTTCTAGAAAACTTTTAACATTGTTCAAACCCTCTTCTCCTAACCCAAAGTCTCCAAAGAACTCTAATAATGCTGTCATTGACCCCACTGCAACCAAGATCTAGATTCATTTACCTTAATATTTCCTCGGTAAATATGGAACTAAACTCACCAATAACTTCATTCGAAAAATAAGTCCTCTACTGAATTCCCCTTGCAAATTTATCGTCAACTGGAAAACTACTGATACTAATTGCTTCATCACACTTAAAGACCCAACACCAAAAACGTATCAAAGCTCCGTTGTGTATGAATTCAAATGCCGTGGATGTAATGCTAACTACGTGGGAAAAACTGATCGCTGCCTATATACCCGTATTAAAGAACATTATTCTCTGGACTCTTCTGAAATATATAACCATATTATTAGCTGCAATGAATTCAATTTTGTAATAAACCTACTCGAACTAACACCTAATGACGAAGTTAATAACATTAAATGTTCACTAACAGATTTAATATTTACAGTTTACTGACACTAAAATAATAGATAAATCCAATCACTGGTCGTTGATACTTTATCAAGAGTCTATTGCTATTAATAGAATGAAACCGTCCCTAAACCATGGAACTAAAGCCTCTAAAGATCTATTAATATTTAACTAATCGTATCTTGTTACTTCACTATATATACTTGTACATATATGTAATATCATCATTCATTTCCTGATGATGACTATAGTTTAGTCGAAACGTCGAAATAGATTTTCAAAATGCTTTCAATTTTCGGAGTATCTATTGTTTTGTATTTTATCAAAATACTCAGTGGTTCCCGTAAAGTCTAGTACATGTTGTAAGCTTGGATATATGTGAAGTAAAGATTGTTCCTCAAGCTTGGTATTCAGAAAATATCTGAACTCCCGTTATATGAACACACAAACACATTCAAATCGTATTTTGAGGTCAACTGTTAGCTGTTCGAGGTTACGACAATTTGTTACTTTATAATAAGTGAAGTATGGATTATATAGCTACTTAGGTGTCGAAAACTTGTAGAACTTCTTCAAATGTGATTCGAAGTTCAACGGTCTGCCGTAAAAGTCAATTTTAAGGCCTCTAGTAGACTGTGTAGCTGGCGGTTTTAAGCGATCTCTACTGAATCTCGTAACCCTTGGGACACAGGGGTTTTACGTGTATTACTTATTCATGCATTGTTTTAAGTGTTGATGTCCTGTGTACATCACTGATCGCATGCTACTGGTTAAGTTATACGTTTTACCAATCAACCGACCATTTTAAATAATCAACCCCTGAATCATTTGCGAGTGGTACTCGAGGGTCTTGTACGGTTTAGGATGGTCCGAAAAACTTGCATATTTTGGTCATTGAATTGTTTTTTACCAATCAACATAGAATAACATAATTAAAGATTGCATAAATTTAATCCTGTTTCCAATATTCTATGATAACAAGATTGTTTCTTGATGTAGGTGCTACTAAAACTGGTGACGTAATAAAAGTAGAGTGAGTACATTAAAAATTTATCAATAAGAAATTTGACGTCTGCATGTCATTGATAATTTTATCAGAAATCAGATTGCAACATTGTTTTTAGTTTATTAACCAATTTACTGACATATAAACAAAGCATCAATTTGCTCAACATGTACCTATATGGTTGTCCGAACATAGTACCATCCCATTTGAACGTTCATTAAACGCTCTTGCATACTAATACTTCGGATGTTTAGCAGTCAGGTCGATCTTTCCTCTGACATTATAATGATTTGCACTATAATGATTTCCTTGGTTAAAAAGGCAAAATTCCTTTCAATATTTTAGCATTGAATCAGTGAAAGACAGTTCAAAGAAAGAAACGGTAAGATTTGATCTACAGTATATCTTCAGAAAACGTTGATCACTTCATGTGATCGTATGATTGCATTGTTTTTCAAGGCAGTTGTGAGTTTTAACTTATTCAGTTGTTGTCACATGATCTTATAAAGTATTATGAATACTCGGGTTCAATGAACCCATTATATTCTACAATCCTTTCAACCATTTCAACTAAACTCTAAATCCTCCTGTTAGTGAATAAACATTCATCACACCACTTGCTCGTGGAAGGAGGCATTCTGGTAGGGGTGATGACGATTTTAACAAATGCTAATAATATTTAAAATAGTAACGTTATTTCCTTACATCTCTTCTTTAGCTGGAATGTGATACGCTATTAGTATGTATTGGAAGGCGGCCCTTTACAGATAACCTGGGCTTACAGGTATTCATTTTTCTCACTATGTAATGTACTTTACACAGTATATTTATTGCATGTTTTAACCTGGTGCATGTCTTTCAGGAACTTGGTATTGAGCTTGATAAGGCAGGACGCATCCCTGTTGATTCTAGATTCACAACAAAAGTTCCTAGGTATGGAAAATTTCTGTTGTGATTTTATATTTATAACACAGTGGATTCTGTAAATCTTCGAATATAAGCCCTGGGCTTATATTTGTTCGTAAGTATTTTTTGGTGGGCTTATACATGGGGGGTCTTACATACGGACGACATTTGATGTTAGTAATAATACTTATTGTACCTGTAAACTATACCATGAACGAAAAGAAATATAAACATACAGTATTACAAGTTGTTTTTACAGTATTAAAATACTGTAATGTAATTATCGTCACTCGTCAAGCTGTTGGAATCCCCGTCGTTGTGTTAATAAATATACTTGTCCATTAATAAACCCATGCATGGGCTAAAATACACGAAGGGGGTTATATTCAGAGAGCTTACTGTCTATTCGGAATGGCCTGAGCGTTAGTGACTATGGTGGGCCTATACACGGTGGGGGGGGGAGGGGGGACTTATATTCGGCGGTATAGTATACAGTGGATTTAAATCGAATATATGATTACGATAAGTTGTGTATTTAAAACTTTTAGTATATAGTTATCGTGTGCATAATACTATAGGCAATACTATAGATGTTCGAAAAGAGATGTTCCAGTTTGGCAGTAGGACCCAAAATAATCCTTTCCTATCATACCCCAGTGTAATATTATACATGAGAAAATATAGTTAATTCCATCTTTGGTATTTTGTTTTGACATAGTATCTATGCAATTGGGGATGTGATAGAAGGCCCAATGTTGGCTCATAAAGCTGAAGACGAAGGTTTGTATGTAGTAGCTACCAGTCTATAATTTCCATTAAACGTGCTTCGATGTGCATTCATGTAGAAAATACAATATTGATCATAATGTTTATATTTAGGGATTGTCTGTGTAGAAGGTATTGCTGGTGGTCCTGTACATATAGACTATAACTGTGTGCCTTCCGTTATATACACTCATCCAGTAAGTGGCAATGTCATGCTGTACTTTTCTTCAATAGTAGTGAGTTTGGAAACCGAGAACGGCAACAGCAGGAAACAGCATTACTCCATTAGCTACATGTAGTATACATACATTTTTGTAATCGAGCCATTGCAGCAAACATTACTTTGAGGTTTGTCATACACTGTGTTTATGCTTCATGATATATTTACCAGGAAGTCGCATGGGTGGGCAAGACTGAAGAAATGCTCAAAGAAGAGGTATGCTTTATTCTATTTTTATGGCCACTGAACGGTATATGTCAAGGTAAAGCTGTACTGCACCTTCGCAGAATTGCAAAAAAGCTGCGGGTATGCGGGTATACCACCCGTGTAGCCTGCGAACAGGCTCTCAAGCTGAATTGAGAGCCTGCATCGATGACTAATGAATTTGAATATCTGCCCCGTAACGTTCGTTTTTCCAAATATGGAATGTCTATCCTTATATGGTGTTGTTTACAACTTTCGTGCAAACTAAATTTAGACTGTGCAAACTAAATTTAGACTGTACAGTTTATACTGTTTTTCGAAATATAAGATATTCAAGCAAAAGTTCAAATGTTTTAAATACTGTTTTCTCAAAACAGAACATTTCGTGCTTTGAGATAAGACGGCCTAGACCAATTTGATCAGTTAATGTGTTTTTTATGCATAATGCTTCAGCAGTTGACATATATAGAGCTCAGCGGAAACATATAAATTATAGCATCTGACCAATGAGAATTTCGCGTCACGATTTGAGACGCAGATATTCAAATTCATTAGTCATCGTTGCAGGCTCTCAATTCAGCTTGAGAGCCTGTTCGCAGGCTACCACCCATGAAGAAGGTTTACCATATGTGACGTCAGTGAGGAAGGTTTAAGGCTGATTTCCACTGTTGCGTTTTTCATACGTACGCATACGCACGTAAAACTTTAAATCCGTTTAAATGTTACTTATGAAATAACCAAATAAATAAAGCAACAGAATTTAGTGTTCCGCAAGTTTTAATATGCATTTGGTAACTTATTTTTAAAATATTTAAAAAATAGAAGGATTCAAAGTTTTACGTGCGTGTACGTGCGTACGAAAAACGCAACAGTGGAAATCAGCCTTTAGTGTAGTACTCAATGCTAACACCATCAAACAAATAAATGATACTTGACTGGGCAGGTTGAGGTTGACAGTATGCTGATGTTGTACTGATGACTATTGTGATTGTATCGATACCAGAGTCGCATTGCCATTGGAGAAAACTGCATGAGGAGAAAACAATAAGAATTGAATGACGTAATTTATATCTTTTACAATTTGAAAAAGCCACAATTCACATTATTTTGAGGAAGGTTTCAAAACTTGAATTTTTACTCGGAGGAAGGTTGAACATTTTTGGCAATTTTTTAATTAGTTTCACAGATAAAAGTAGTATTGAGGGTAGCATAATTTTCCTGCTCGTTAATGTGTCAGAATTAATCACAACTTCACCATCATCTGCTGTCCTTGCAGCGTTTTCTCAAACCCACTTTATGTAAACCATCGATATACCGTGATCTCTCTAGATAAAAAAAAATATCATGAAGCCCTCCCTCTCCAATAATCACTCCCCCCCCCCCCTCTCAAAGGTGCTTGGGAAAAGATAAGCTGGGGGGCTAACAAAGAGATGACGATAATCTGATACCTAAATCTCTGCCATTTCTAGGGTGTAGAGTACAAAGTTGGTAAATTTCCAATCGCAGCAAATAGCCGAGCACGAACAAACGCAGATTCAGATGGATTAATGAAAGTTTTAGGAGATAAAGAAACAGATAGACTACTTGGTGTTCATATGATATCGCCTTCAGCTGGAGAAATTATTAATGAAGCTGCTCTGGCCATGGAATATGGAGCATCTTGTGAGGACGTCGCAAGAGTTTGTCATGCACATCCGGTAAATGATTTGGCAATTATTTATTCTTACCCCAATCATAACCCGCGAGCGCCTGACTTGCAGCCTGCGCTCTCCCTAATTTACCTGAGGGCCCAGATACACGATACCGGAATCGCACCATCGAATTCAACTGTTTGAGGAACCACTTAACACTTGAAATTGTGATTATGTGACCAAAATATGAAAGAACAAGAATGATGAACCACAAACATTGATACAATGTCGCCAGCAACTAATTATGATTTATGGAACTTGTCAATTATTTTGGGCTTTAAGCGTTTTGTGTAGTGAGACATTACGTCCGCGCAGGTTTGCATGGAGACGAATATAATTTTTTTATGGAGAAGAAACGTGAAAAAGAACGTAAATTCGTTCAGAAAATTCAAGGTTCTTTAAATTTTAATTTTAAGCTTATTCGATTATCAATCTTTCTTTCTAGACGGTATCCGAAGCATTCAGAGAAGCTAACATAGCTGCATACGCTGGAAAACCGATCAATATGTAACATGAAAGAACATTGTGTTTTCTAATTATCGTAAGTGGAGTGTATTGAACATTTTTCATCAAACTAACTTCATGTGTTGGTCATGGTTTGCAATAAGTGTGATTATGGTGCACAGGATGCAATAAATAGATAAAGCTATGAACTGGTAACAAACCAGTTGTTGAATACTAAATACTGACGGTAAAAGAGAAATATATAATTTTTAATCCTCCAGAATATTGTATGAAGTATAGTATGGTTATGGGATAATTATGTCCGGATCCCTTTACGCATCCATTTCCCTTTACGCATCCATTTCCAGCCGTTTATAAAATAAACATCTTCGATCCAGCCAATTTAATAACTTTGACAGCTATACCATGTAATTGGGCGAACACTGGCGCGGATAAAGTAGCGCGGGTTGCGGTTATAGTCAGTAGCGAATAGAAGTTGATAGCGGAAGCCGTCCTTTGCCCTTGGAACAGACCCTTGACCCCCCCCCCTCCACGTGACGTCATATGAAACCCGAGATACACGGAGAACAATACACAACCGGTGAACTCCATGTCTTTTATCATTTTGTCCATGTTTTTTATGGTAAATAGATTGAGTTCACTGTACACAACAAGTCGTCTGTACAAATTTCATTTTTAATAAATATTAAAAATCTAAAAAATATTACACGACCACAGAAGGTTCGTTTCTTTATAATTATTTCACTGTTTCAGGTTGAACATATGATCTTGAAGGAATAAAATATTTCTGTGCAGATCTTAAAGTTAATAGTTCGTGATGTTGAAAACTTTCGTAGATCTTTCTGTCGTTTTTCGTAGGGAAAGGATTTAATGTGATTGTTTTTAGACGTAATGCAATGTTGGTAACAACTATAGATGTTTGTTGATGGATCGGCGGTAGTCGGAATCCTAAAGAAAAAAAGTAATAGTATGTGAATGTGTAGAAGCACAGATTGCATGAGCATTTATATATGTATTCTATCACAAAAACAATAGCAGCAGCAGCAACAACAACCACAAACAACAACAACAACAACAACAACAGCAACAGCAACAGCAACAGCAACAACAACCAACCAACCAACCAACCAAACAAACAAACAAACAAACAAACAAACAAACAAACAAACAAACAAACAAACAAACAAACAAACAAACAAACAAACAAACAAACAAACAAACAAACAAACAAACAAACAAACAAACAAACAAACAAACAAACAAACAACAGTAGCACAACAACAATATAAAATTGAAAAATATATTACAAAAAGATAAGGGGAATGGTTACCTGGAATAACTATAAGTTAACAAAAGCAGACAGTTCCATCGAGTTTCATTATCACAGTTTTATTTTAATATATGGGAAATTTTCCCATACAAGTCAATTTTGTCCTATTTTGAAGAAGGGAAAATTATTGATTCATACCGTATGATAGCGCTGTTTCCCTCTCAGGATGGCAGTGGCTACAATGTGTCTCTCCTAACCGAGCAAGACTTGGCTTCCTAATACAATAAAACAAATTATAATTATTAAATGTGTTCGATGCTGTATATAGTAATGAAACCGGGTCATTTTACAGGGAATTCAGTATAAAGCATGCAAGAAAGAACACCGACACAAGGCAACAATCAGACAGTGGATTTTTGGTTACCATTGTCAAGCACAAGTTCTTTTGGGTTGGTTCATTCTGACAAGCCAAAAGATACAAAAAGAAATATCCGGCATTTTGAGCAAATGGTCATCGTGAAAAAGTTAGTAACGAACGAGATCATCAACATAGGGTTCGTACAGGTCAGGAAAAGTTAAATTCAAGGACTTTCAAGGTCATGTATCTGGAAATTCAAGGACTAAAGGCTGAAAAGAAGGCGTTTTCAAGTTTTGTATGAACCCTGCCAACAGTATTTGTATTCCATGAACATCTATACAAGGTGGTATAGATGCATGAGACAAACTTACGTATCAATGGCAGGCAAAATGAGTACAGTATTCCTTGCTTTCTCATCCTCCCCATCAGATCGTTTCAAAGAATATTTTCTTGCTCTGGCTTTTTCAATTTCGGACTGAAGTTGCATTTCCGAAAAGTAATTGATTGCATCGATGGCACTCGCGTTCTCTGCAGCCGCGTCACCCATTGTTTGGAAATTCCAGGAAACTACAATAAATATAAAACATTTTTCAACTGTATAATACACAGGACAGCACACCACCGCGTAGTGATCACCATGCTTGCCTCTCAAGCTGGGAGACCTGGATTTAATCCTTGGTCAGACCTCTACTCAAGGTCTTAAAGTAATTGAGGAGAAAGAGCTACCTTTGCATTGACATCAGTAAATGGTTAGACTTTCGCGTCTTTTCGGTCTCGCATTCCCCTATCAATTGGGCAATAGCCTGTTGGGACATCCACTCACCAATGAGTGAGAAACTTAATAAACACCACACTAGTACAGTACAGTACAGTACAGTACAGTACAGTACAGTACAGTACAGTACAGTACAGTACAAAACCCGAAAACGAATACATACAGTTTAAGCACGAATGTCTGAAGCTTATGGAGTATATTACTGTACGTATGTTTAAGCAACTCAACCTCGTTCCCAGGTTTTTCCCTGTGAGCAACACTGTCCACAAAAAAACACCTTTTCATTGTTACAACTTACAAAGGCGAAATTTTGCAATGAAATTCACAAACATATATTTTACTTTACCTCCAGCTTGTTTAAGATTAGTTTTGGACTAGAAGAATAAGAGAACGATACGTATTAACAACGTAGTATTAACAATAATCATTATTGATATGAAGAGTTCAATTATATATTCGTGAGTATAGGCAGAAATATGTCCAGTATGTCTGGATGTTGTTCAGTGAACATCTAGATGCCCAATCAATAACGTTTATCAACATATTAACGTGTAGGACTCAATAAGTGTGTTAGTGTGTTGTTATTTTGTTTGTCTTTTCGTAATTATTACAAGGAAAAATTATACTGTCGCTGTAATTAGTGTTTTTTATATTTTGCTTTAATAGCTATCTGACAAGTTAGCCAATAAATGGTTAATTTAGATAGCTACACTCATTTTTTGGTATTATGTTGATTATGTAAAAGATGTATCGTTGCAACTTTCTGAGTAAAGATGTCATTACCAGAGAGCATTGCTTGTCGATATCATTTTAGTGTATAAAAATCCTTAAATTTCGATCATACATTACACTGACCTCTTTACCCTTTAAAATGCCTTTGACTTGAGAGGGAGTCTTCGGATTTTTAGTTCCCCTATGAGAAAATAATTAAACTTGTAAAATAATTAAAGTTATATATTTTGTGAGTGTACATGCATACGGTTTCAAATTTTAACTATCATGGAGTTTACCTGACAATTTGTCCACTACGAGCGCGGTTGATCTTTCCTGCCAAAGATCGTATGTGTTCTTTAAATTGCGCTAACCATTTATCTAACCAGTCAAGACATAGCCTGTGAATATGAGCTTTTACTGCATTTTCTGGTACGCCCTAAAATAGAACACGTACATTAATCAAGACATTCTGCTTGTCAATTCCTGTGGGTCATACAATTGGTCACTTTTCTCTGAAGGAAAACCCAAATCAATTACTCTGACCATTTACATACATCTTCTGATATAGTTGAACATTTTTTAAATTTGCAATTGATAGGAATTGCGGATGAATCAATATTTTTGCTAATCCACCAAAAGTAAGATTCATGTTGGGTAGTAATTTGAAGTACGTTTTTCATGACTTGCAATTTCGGATGTTTGAAGGTTCTTGTAGACATTTATTAGCCCTAACCAGGAACAGCTGCGAAAAATGCAACTATAGGTCCCTGGAAGGAATCTGCGGCCCTGCAATTCCGGTGCAGCGCTCCCACCAAGTGAGCTATAGAGGCCAGTCATCGAGCTCTAACCACAAGTTCATGTACATTATACTGCCATGTGGAATCATGTAGTAAATATATTAAGATTTTGTTGACATCTCACTCCATTGAATAATATATTGTTGAAGGGCATTGTAGATGGAAATCAGTTATCGACGGGTAGAACTCGACAACTGGCCTCTGTAGCTCAGCTGGCGCTGCACCGACATCGCAGGTTCGACTCCTTCCAGGGACCTATAGTAAATTGCATTTTTCGCAACTGTTCCTGGTTAGGTCTGATAAATGTATATAAATTTCCACTCGATAATTTCCATCTTTATATACTGTATCCTTTAACTATTATTGAATCGAGTGAGATGCCAACAAAATCTTGGTAATTTAGGATATTGCATGCAGTGTATCTTTTCAAGCAAAAACGTCACGTTCATTGTCATATTAGGTGTACATTCACCGCACACGATGTCGGCCAAGCTCTATGGTAGGCATAGCTTGTGATCGCCTTTGCGGCAATTGCAGCCAATAAATCCATCCGCTCGGAGTTCTCGTAAAAATGGGTCTCTCGTCAACTCAGGTACTTACAAAAGTGTCAAATTCGTCCAACTCTCGAAGGAAGTAGCGGTCTGCCTCCTGAATTCCAATTTCAGTGAAAATATCAACAACGAAGGTTCTAAAATACAACAGATCAATACAATAAAATACAGAGAATCACACACATACTATTATTGGTGTAGGTTATGTTTTGAGCAAGTGTACCTGATGTCTTTATCTCCCAAGATAAAATGAGACATGAACTCCGCCACTACACCCGGTGTGTATTTCTTCATCATTCTTAACAGTTGTAAAGCTGATCGAACAAATTGTTTTGTATCAACGTTCCAGCTGGTCAGAGAACCACTTGATATGTTTAGTTCTTGTGTTAAAGTGTTTATTATCTGCCGGACACAATCATCATCAAATGATTCTTGACCACGAAGTAATAGTATTGCCTAGAGGAAGAAAGCATTCGTATAACTTCAAATGTGGGAGTTCATTGTAGTGCACCAAAATTGGAGGCACTTCATTCTTCGTTTGTTTAAACAAAAAAATTCAATATACACTCTGCAAACCACTGATACAAACACCCTGGCTCAAAATTTCCTCAATCTAAAATGAACCCTGTTTGGGGGAACTTAATGTTCCTGGTTAATTTAACCACAGTCCTGGTTAATGTAACTAAGTTATATGGTTGAATTAACCAGATTATCATGATTTTTTCTGTGTTGGTGTAATGTACTCAGGTGACTATGATGCTTGTGATGTTACTCTGAGTGTATATCCACACCGGGCAAGCTTGAAAAATATGCCTGACCACGGTGGGAATCGAACCTACGACCTTTGGAATACTAGCCCAATGCTCTGCCAACTGAGCTACGCGGTCTGGTCGGTTCGAGTATGTGATATTTCGGAACAGAATCTAGTTCCTTCGATATCAATATATGTTAATTAGGTGGACCTTTAACCAAGAATTCCTGGTTAATAATCCACCTAACATAATC